AGTTAGAAACATCGATGAGAGAGAAACATCGATCAGCTGCCTCCTGCACATCTCCTACTGGGGATGTGCCCGCAACCCAGGTACATGCCCTTGACCAGAATCGAACCTGGGACCTTTCAGTCCGCAGGCCGACGCTCTATCCACTGAGCCAAACCGGTTTCGGCACATTTACATTTTAAAAGGAAGTATATGGCAGGAGACATACTAGAAAGGAGAAAAAAAATTCCAACACAACAGCTATGTGGTAAATCAGGTCAAGATAGAGGGATCCAGGGAAGAAGTCTCAAAAGATGAAATACTACAATGAAAGGAAAAAACACAATACCTACTATATTTACTAGTAAATGAATTAAGAGGATATTTTCAGCTCAACTTAAGAGTTTTGGAAGGAATTAGTGATGTATATGTAGAAAATGAAGCAACTGAAAAACTTAGGTAATTAATAATTTCAAGAAAAATTAAAAAGTTTAATGGTTCTTGATCATTGTGATGATTATATGGGTATGTTCACTTTGTGAAAAATCATCAAATTACACATTTTGTTTTAGGCACTTTCTGTATATGTGAAAGTACATCAATGAAAAGCTTTCCTAAAATAAAAGTGTAAATCTCTTAGCTCTAGCCACAGAAATGGCCTAGAAACAAACAAAAAACTTACTTGAGAAAGAAAGTAAATAGTACATTAGGTGACTCTAATGTGTATGATATTTGGTTATAAATGCAGAACACTGATTAACCCAAAACTGTGATATAACTATATTGAAGTAAAAATTGAGGAGATGGTGGGATATAAAAAAAGGTTAAGTCCACATCTTTCACAACAGATATTCAGAATAATTTTTAAATCTAAAAAAGCAGAAATACCTACATAAGCAGATTACCAAGAAATAGGGAGTTTAAAAGCAACTCGTATCTTAGGAACAATGATTCCCTTTGGGAACTGGGGACTGAAAATGAGGTGTGATGGGGCAGGCAGAGGTTGGCTGAATATATCGTTATAAGCATTGAAACGATGATTTGACTTCTTAAGCTGTGTATATGTAGTAACTTGATTAAAACGAAAAGCATTTAAATAGAGACAATTTGGCCCTAGCTGGTTTGGCTCAGTGGATAGAGTGTCTGCCTGTGGACTGAAGGGTTCCGGGTTCGATTCCGGTCAAGGGCACATGCCCGGGTTGCGAGCTTGATTCCCACTAGGGGGTGTACAGGAGGCAGCCAATCAATGATTCTCATCATTGATGTTTCTCTCTCTCTTCCTCTCTGAAACCAATTAAAATATATTTTTAAAAAAAGAGAGACAATTTGTATTCCCACCAACAGTACACCAGGGTTCCCTTTTCTCCACATCCTCACCAACACTTGTTGTTTATTGATTTATTGATGATAGCCATTCTGACAGGTATGAGCTGATTTCTCATTATAGTTTTAATTTACATTTTTCTGACAATTAGTGACCTTGAGCAGCTTTTGATATGTCTATTGGCCATCCATACATCCTCTTTGGAGAGGTATCTATTCAGGTCTTTTGCCTATTTTTTAAATTGGATTGGGGGTTTTTTGTGTGTTGAGTTTCATAAGTTCTTTATAAATTTTGGATATTAACCCCTTATCAGATCTATCATTGGCAAATATATTCTACCATTCAGTGGGTTGTCTTTTCATTTTGTTCATGGTTTCCTTTGATGCAGACTGGTGCAGCCACATGGAAAGCAGTATGGACTTAACCAAAAACAAACAAACAAACAAAAACTGTCAACGATTCCACTTACACTAATTTGGAAGAATATATGTAGTACCTCTATGTTCATTGCAGTGTCATTTACAATAGACAAGATTTGGAAGCAGCCCAAGTGTCCATCAGTAGATGAGTAGATAAAAAAAGCTATGGTACATTTACTCAATGGAATACTACTCTGCCATAAAAAGGAAGAAAATTTACCCTTTGTAACATTATGTCTGAACCTGGAGAACATTATGTTAAGTGAAATAAGCCAGTCAGAGAAAGACACTAGTAAGTACCATATGATTTCACTCATGTGGAATTTAATGAACTGAACTACCAAGCAAAATAGAGACGGACTCATAGAGAGCAGGCTAACAGCTGGATGTGGGTGTGGGTGGGGGATGGAAGATTGAACAAATAAAAATAAAAAGAGAGAACTCATGGATAAGCACAATAGTGTGGTGATTGCAAGAGGGGAGGGGATGGGTGGAGGTAGAAGAGGGCATAGAGGGGATAAATGGTGGCAGGAAAAATAAAAAAAAAATTTAAAAAGCAACAATTTAAAAAGCTATGGCTATATCAAAAGTGACATGATATCTTAAACACTTTTTTAAAATATATTTTTAAATTTTTAATTTTTTAAATTTATCTTTTGTTGTTGACTGTCTTACAGATGTCCTCTGTTCCCCCCCCCTTTACTTCCTCCCACCCAGCCCCCACTCCACCACAGGCCTTCACCACACTACTATCTGTGTCCTTGGGTTATGCATATATGCATATAAATTATTTGGTTAATCTCTTCCAGCCCCCACCCTTCCCTCTGAGATCTGTCAATCTGTTCCATGCTTCCATGTCTCTGGACCTATTTTGTTCATTAGTTTATTTTGTTCATTAGATTCCACATATAAGTGAGATCATGTGGCATTTATCTTTCTCTGACTGGCTTATTTCGCTTAGCATAATCTCCAGGTCCATCCATGCTGTCTCAAAGGGTAACAGACCCTTCTTTTTTACACCTGCATAGTTGTCCATGTGTAAATGTACCACAGCTTTTTTTTTTAATTCTTTTATTGTTGAAAGTTTTACATATGTTTCCTTTTTCCCCTATTGACCTCTCCCAGCCCACTCCGGCCTCCCAGCACAGGCCCTCACCCCCTGCTGTCTGTGTCCATTGGTTATGCTTCTTCTATGCATGCATACAAGTCCTTTGGTTGATCTCCTACCCCTTCTCCCCCCTCCCATGCTTCCTTCTGAGGTTTGATGGTATTCGATGCTTCTATGTCTCTGGATCTTTCTACAACTGGCTTATTTTGCTTAGCATAATGCTCTCCACGCCCATCCATGCTGTTGCAAATTATAAGAGTCCTTTCTTTATTACAGCAACATAGTATCCCATTGTGTAGATGTGCCACAGTTTTTTAATCCATTCATCTGCTGATGGGAATTTTTGCTATTTTCAGATCTTAGCTATATAAATAATGCTGCTACGAATACAGGAATGTATATATTCTTTCTGATTGGTGTATCTGGATGCTTAAGATATATTCCCAGAAGTAGGATCACTGGGTCAAAACGCAGTTCCATTTTTAATATTTTGAGGAAACTCCATACTGTTTTCCATAATGGTTACACCAGTCTGCATTCCCACCAGCAGTGTACTAGGGTTCCCTTTTCTCCACATCCTCACCAGCACTTGTTTGGTGATTGATGGTAGCCATTCTGGCAGGCATGAGGCAATACCTCATTGTGATTTTTAATTTGCATCTCTCTGATGATTAGTGACATCAAGCATTTTTTTATGTCTATTTGCCATCTGTCTGTCCTATGTGGAGAAGTGTCTATTCAGGTCCTTTGCCCATTTTTAAAAAAATATATTTTATTGATTTTTTACAGAGAGGAAGGGAGAGGGATAGAGAGCTAGAAACATCGACGAGAGAAAAACATCAAGCAGCTGCCTCCTGTACATCCCCTACTGGGGATGTGCCCGCAACTGAGGTACATGCCCTTGACCGGAATCGAACCTGGGACCCTTCATTCCGAAGGCCTTCGCTCTATCCACTGAGCCAAACCAGTTAGGGCTCCTTTGCCCATTTTTGATTGGATTGTCTTCCTTTTGTTGAGTTGCATTATATATTTTGGAAATTAATCCCTTACCAGATATATCATTAGCAAATATGTTCTCTCATAGTGGGATCCCTTTTCATTTTGATGATGGTTTCTTTTGCTGTGCAGAAGATTTTTAGTTAGATGTAGTCCCATTTGTTTATTTTGTCCTTTATTTCTCTTGGCCTAGGACCATGGTCGGCAAACTGCGGCTCGCGAGCCACATGCGGCTCTTTGGCCCCTTGAGTGTGGCTCTTCCTAAGCCTTAGGAGTACCCTAATTAAGTTAATAACAATGTACCTACCTATATAGATTAAGTTTAAAAAAATTGGCTCTCAAAAGAAATTTCAATCGTTGTACTTGATATTTGGCTCTGTTGACTAATGAGTTTGCCGACCACTGGCCTAGAAGATGTATCAATGAAAATTCTGCTACGAGAGATGTCTGAGATTTTATTGCCTATGTTTTTTTCCAGGATTTTTTATGGCTTCACGATTTGCATTTAAGTCATTTATCTATTTTGAGCTTATTCTTGTGTATGGTGTAAGTTGGTGGTGTAGTTTCATATTTTTTTAACGGTTTCAAGAAATTTATTTTCTATTTTTTGCTTTTACAGTTTTTTTTTTAAATTTATTTTTGTTGAATGTATTACAGATGTTCCCTTTTTTCCCCTTTGACCCCTTCTAGCCTGCCCCGACTCCCTGTCCACCCGGCCTGCCCCAGGTCTTCACCACACTATTGCCTGTGTCCATGGTTTATGCATGTGTACATATAAGTCCTTTGGTTAATTCCACCACTGCCTTCCCTCTGAGATTCAGTAGTTTGTTCCATGCTTCTATGTCTCTGGATCTATTTTGTTCATCAGTTTATTTTATTCATTAGATTCCATATTTGAGTGAGATCATGATATTCGTCTTTCTCTGACTGGATTATTTTGTTTGGAGGGGAAGAGACAGAGAGAGAGAAACATCAATGTGATAGTTTCATTTTTAATTGTATATTGTCCATCTCCCCTTGGATAGTAAATTATTCAAGGACAGGTATTATTGAAAATACAATACAGCACTTAAAACTTTGCATATAGTAAGCCATAGTAATTAATTGTTAAAATGTCAGTCCTTTAAAAACAAAGGAATATTATCAGGACATTGGTTTAACTTTTTATGCAATGCAGGCATCGTTTTTACATCCTCGCCTGGGTCATCATTGAAGATCATCTTGAACATCTCCAGTGATGGCAAGCTTATTACCTCATGAAGCAGCTCATTCCATCTCAGGACAGTTCTGCTTGCGTGAAGAGTCTTCTTTATACTACATTAAACCTCTCTCCATATAATTTCCACCTTTGGAGTTAGGCCAAGTAAGTCGAATTCCTTTTACATATGTAGTCTTACACATTTTAGAAAACAGTTGTAGATATTGCCCATATCTTCTCTTTTACAGGACAAATATTTCCATTCCTTTGAATAATTCTCCATATATTACGTATGGTCTTCCAATCTCATCCTTCCCATGACAGTTTGGAAATTTCTAATTTATGAATTTTCATCACAAAATACCACATTCAGAACTTAACACAATCCCTCTCCCATTTGCTTTGACTAACAGAGTCAGTGGAACAAATACCTTTCTTAGCACTATTACTCATGAGAGCAAAATGACTATTCCGATAGTTCTGACAGAAAGCTTGTATTTAACTAAAATCTCCAGTAATTTTCATAAGCCCTGCTATGAATGCAAGGGCCTTCCATTTTGTAGATGTGAATTTGTTTTCTAAACAACTGGTGAACATTTTATATCTACCCTGATTAAACACATTGTTGTAACTTTTAGTATAGAGTTCCATGTTATTTTAATCTTTGAATCCCAACTCTGTACTTCCACATAATAAAGACCCCTCCAAATTCTGTGCCATCAACATATTTGATAAGCATGCCTTTATAAGAACATCTAAATCACTAATAAAATATTTGCATAAATAGCCCCAGCCAGTTTGGCTCAGTGGATAGAGTGTCAGCCTGCGGACTGAAGGGTCCCAGGTTCAATTCCCATCAAGGGCACATGCTCAGGTTGCAGGCTCAATCCCTAGTAAGGAGTGTGCAGCAGGCAGCCAATCAATGATTCTCTCTCATCATTGATGTTTCTATCTCCCTCTCCCTCTCCCTTCCTCTCTGAAAGCAATAAAAAATATATTTAAGAAATATTTGCATAAATATATTAAAACTGAGTACCATAGCATAACAGCATAACATTAGAGTTCTTTTCTTGTGATTGATATTGATTCAATGTGTAGTTCAATGAGCTATTTGTAGCTCCCTTAACAGCTTCTTCTTAGCTGCAAAAATATGATGAAAGGTACTATTAAATGCCTTTCTAAAGTCAAGATGCTCTATAAAAATTAAATATTTTATTAACAAAGATTGCTTTTTATTCACTTCATTTCAGATATATATATAAGTATATATCATTACATATAAATTATGCACATCAACTTAATCCTATGGATAACTACCAACACAATATCAATATTATCAGTGCCCCTAAAATAAGAATTTATAATAATACTAGAGGCCCTGCACGAAATTCGCAGTCCGGGAGCCCTCGGGGGATGTCCGACTGCCCACGGAGGCAGGAGAGGCTCCTGCCACCGCTGCGCTCGCCAGTCGTGAGCCAGGCTCAGGGCTTCTGGCTGAGCAGAGCTCCCCCTGTGGGAGCGCACTAACCACCAGGGGGCAATTCCTGCTTTGAGCGTCTGCCCCCTGGTGGTCAGTGCGTGTCATAGCAACCGGTCATTCTGTCATCAGGCCAAGACTGGCCCTCCGACATTCCCCAAGGGGTCCCGGATTCCAAGAGGGTGCAGGCCAGGCCAAGGGACCCCACCAGTGCACAATCGGTGCACAATCGGGACCAGGGAAGGATGTGGGAGGTTGGCCAGCTGGGAAGGAGCCGTGGGAGGGCTCCAGGGCTTGTCCTGCCCATCTTGCTCAGTCCCGATCGGCCGGACCCCAGCAGCAAGCTAACCTACCAGTCGGAGCGTCTGCTCCCTGGTGGTCAGTGCATATCACGTCAACTGGTCGACTGTCTGCCTCCTGGTGGTCATGGCATGTCATAGCAAGCAGTTGAGCAGCCTTAGCATATCATTAGCATATTATGCTTTGATTGGTTGAACAGCCAACCAGACAACTGGACACTTAGCATATTAGGCTTTTATTATATAGGATATTCTCATGTTTGTAAAAATTCTCTTAATATAAATTTTGTTCTAAGACAGTCTGGATATCTTTGCAGAATAATGCTACAATTGAGAAATCAGCAAAATCAGACCAAGACTAGGTTTCCATACGTATGCAATGGATAAGAGAACAAAACTATATCAAATAGTGTGTTACTCTGGAAGCCTCAGTTATTTTAAGATAAATTTAACATTATCTATATTGCTTAAAGCTCTCATATGAAATCTTCCCTGTCACTATACTGGTTTTAATTAAATCAAGTATATTTAGCAAAATGAGTACATGGACCAAATTAACCCATAACAGTAGCTTTAGTAATAAGGGCACATCCAGGTGCCCTTTCCACTTTAAAAGTTAAAGATATGGTCAAGTAGAATCTTCCATTCTAGGACATATCTTCCCATACCAAAAAAAAAATCTATTATTATGTGACAGCATCATGACACAAAATATTATTTTGGGGCAGCCCAGCCAGTGTGGCTCAGTGGCTGAGCATCAATGCAAGCATCAAGAGGTCACCAGTTCTATTCCCAGTCAGGGTACATGCCCCAATTGCAAGCTCATCCCCAATAGGGGGTGTGCAGGAGGCAGCTGATCCATGTTTCTCTCTCTCTTCCTCTCCCTTTCTCTCTCACTAAAAATCAATAAAAAATAACTTATTTAAAAATTTTTTGGGGCAGTTGTATCTCTGTCACTACTTTCTCAGCTACTTCACACAACTGAATGGACTCATAGTAGCCCCACAATCATGCAAAGTAATTTAGACATTATTTTACATCACTATTTTATCGATGCTTATGAGGAAATTCTTACTGATTCTTCTAATTTTTTAACCTCTTTTCAGAAAACTAGGAAGATTTCTCTGGGAGATAGATATAGCTTTGTGAAGCCAACTGATCCATGGGGAAATGCCCACCTTTTCTTTGTTCAACTCAACCATTTTTGCTTCCTAGGAATAAAGGGAAGATGAGGGATCGACTTCAAGAACTAAAGCAAAGAACAAAGGAACTCGAACTCTCTAGAGACAGGCATGTGTCAACTACAGAAGCAGAGGAACAAGGAAGGATTCTGCAGCAAGCTGTTATTTATGAAAGAGAGCCTGTAGCTGAGAGACACCTACATGAGATCCAAAAACTTCAGGAGAGTATTGACAGTTTGACAGACGATGTTCAAAAATTTGGGCAGCAACAGAAAAGTCTGTTGGCTTCAATGAGAAGATTTAGTCTCCTTAAGAGAGAGTCGGGCATTACAAAAGAGATTAAAATCCAAGCAGAATACATCAAGAGAGGTTTGGATGATTTGATAAAAGAAGCAAAAAAATCAGAGGCTGAAACTGGTCCATCATCAGTGGTCACAAGGATACTTAAATCTCAGCATGCCGCAATGTTCCACCACTTTCAGCAAACCATGTTGATATACAATGACACAATAGCAGCAAAACAAGAGAAGTGCAAGAAATTTATTTTCCGTCAGCTTGAAGTTGCTGGAAAGCAAGTGCCCGAAGAAGAAGTAAATGATATGCTTCATCAAGGAAAATGGGAAGTTTTCAATGAAAGCTTGCTTACAGAAATCAATATCACTAAAGCACAACTCTCAGAGATAGAACAGAGACACAAGGAACTTGTTAATTTGGAGAATCAAATGAAGGATTTAAGGGAGCTTTTCATTCATATATCTCTTTTAGTAGAAGAACAAGGAGAAAACATCAACAATATTGAAATGACAGTGAATGGTACAAAAGAGTATGTTAACACTACTAAAGAGAAATTTGGCCTAGCTGTGAAATATAAAAAAAGAAATCTTTGCAGGGCACTGTGTTGTTGGTGTTGTCCATGCTGTGGCTCAAAATAAAGAATCTGTTTTAGAAAACTCTTCAGCTTTAGAATGAAGGATGCCCTGTATTTCAGTATCTTGTTTTTCTTCATTTCACAGATTCATTCACATACTTTCTTATTATTGTTATAATTTCCTCCTTTGGTCCTTACCCACTAGAATTGCATACACTTCCAAAGCCAGTGACATAAAACGTCTTCATTTACTAAACTAAAAACATTATGCTTAGCTGTTGAAAGTGAGGTGAATGATCTTGTTTCTAATCAGGTATCAAGCTCTACCATATGTTTTTGTAATTTCCAATGTCTTTAGGAGATGAACATCAGTAAGTGACAACTAGTTAAACATTCTTTTGGTTCATTTGAGAATATTTTGGTAGGTAAGAATTGTTTAAAATAAGACCTCAAAGGATACTATATTCAAGCAAATTTAACGGCAGCTGTATCAAATCTTTTATGTTCAGATATTGCAGATAATTCAGTGGTCAACTAAATCCTGATAAAATCCAGCTATGTACTTGATGAAGACTCTAGTTGGTAACTGGGAGCTGAATCTAGTTTAAAGCCTAAAAAGGCAAATTAAGGCACTGTTTTCCTGAACTTGGGTTCATGCAGGACACCGTGTAGCATACAGAGCAGGAAGGTTGGGAAATGAAGTAAAAAATAAAGGTATTCTCAAAAGTTTCTCCATCACTTTTTTGTAAAGCCAGACACTACACTAGGGGCTAGGGATATAACTGGAACTCACAAAGGCATAGAAATCTGTAATTCACATTCTAGTGGAGAAAACAGATAACAAACAAATACAAATATCAGATCATGCTGTCTTGGTAAACTTAAAATAAGGGTATGGTGAGTTAGAGACTATCACTACCAGAGTGGCATCTTTGGGCCGGGCGGTAAGAAAGGTAATATTAAGTGAAAATCTCAATGATGAGGACAAGGGGTGGTATCTTCCAGGCATAGGATACAAACAGTAGAAAGACCCTGAGGAGGGTAATTTACTCTGGGCAAAGAAAAATGAATAGTACAGCTATACCACAGTGGCTAGAAGAGCAGTAAGGCAACAGATGAAGTTAAGAAAGATCAGCAGGGGCTACAGTTAAGAGTCATATAAGTCTGAAAATTACAGCAAGTATAATCAATGAAAAGCCCGCAGATTATTTTTTGGCCTGCAAATGTTATATAATCTATATCTGAGAAAAGTCATTCTATTGTATGCAGAGTGGGTTAGAATGGATTTGGGGCAGGTGAGTGGAAAATAGGCATATAGGTATAGAAAACAATTGGAAGGTTAATGAAGTAGTCCTCATAAGAGATGATAGAGGCTTAAGCTAGGATGGGAATGGAGGTGGTGATGGTGGTAGAAGCAGTACTCATACTCAAGATGAATAAAGTACTTGCTATGTTCCAGCATAGTTCTAATAATTTCACAAGTTTACCAACAAGAACACTGAGATATACAGCGAGGTTAAGTAACCTGTCCCAAGTCACAGAAACTCTATGTGGAGAATCAGGATTTGAACTCAGGCAGTATAATTCCAGAATCAGCTATTAACTACTATATACTATACAGTGGTGATTTAAAAAAAATTAGACTAAACTGTGATAGACTTAAGAGGTAGAAACTACAGGGTACTGATTCGATGATATTGCCATTTATTGAGATGGGAAAAGACAGAAATGAAGGTTTGAACAAGGGAATCTGTGATGATAATAAAATGTCCAAGTGGAAGTTTCTAAGATATTAGTTAAATCAGTAGCAACTCTTGGGAAATGTCAGGGCTGAAAGTATAGATTTGGGTTGAGTAAATAAATGGTATTTAAGATCAGCTGACTTTAGGATGAAGTCATCTAAAAAGTATATAAAAAAAACTGGAGGCCCAGAAAGGAGCCTGGGGTATTTAAAGCATAAAAGGACTTACTGAGAAGAAACCATCAATAATGTAGAAACCAAGAAATGTGCTACAAAATGCAAAAGAAGTGTGTTTAAGAGGAACAAAGTTGAGGAAACTGTCAATTTTACAGTTTGGCCAAGTGATAAACAAGAATGGCAAAGTGACAGGGGATTTGGGAACATGGGGATATTTTGCTGAATCCAACAAGAGCAGTTTCAAGCAATTTTAGGGATGGAAGCACAAGTGGAGTATATTGAGGAAAGAATATGATATGAAGAACTACAATGGCCACTACAGACAATTCTTTCCAGAAGTTTGAATAGAGGACTACAAAAAGGAGTCAAGAGCTGGGGAGGGATGTGGAGTCAGGACTCTGTAATAATTAAAGCTAAGAAACATGAGAGCACATTCTGCTATTGGGAATAATCCAGAGAGAAACTCTTGAAATAACAAAGGGAAGAGAGAACATGGAGGAGTAGAAAGGGGTGGGATCTGGAGTACAAATGGAGAAGCTGGCCTAGGATAGGAGCAGAAATAATTCTTCCATATTATAGGAAGAAAGGAGAGGACTAGGAATGAAATCGGATAGTTGAGAAAATTTGGTGTGGGAAGTGAGAATTCTTATAAATGACAGTTTCTATTTCCTCAAGGAAGCATGAGGCAAAATTATTAACTGAAAGCACAGTCGGATTGAGAGAACAGAAATATACATACACATACCTTCTAACACTATAATTTTTAATTTATAAAATATAAAGAAATTGAAGAGCTTTCCACTCTGTCAATTATCAACTATTACTGAAGAAAAAGATGTTTCACATATGCCAGCTTTAAATGTTTCAGGAACATTATAACAAAGATAAATGTAGAACTGATGATGAACTCTCCAGGTAATGAGAGGTAGCAGACATATTTCTTCTGCCCCTTCCAAAGCTGTGCTCTATCCTTTTATCTAGTGCCTTACCCATATTTGTTAACAACTGTTCCTAATTTTTTTATCATGAAAACAGAGAATATTAAGTACTATGTAATGTTCATTAGCATAATTATATCCAGATGGATTTATAAAATAATAATTTCCTATACTTCGCATTTTAAAGCAAGACTTCATTCAGCACAGAAATTTTCACAGCAATGTAATCACATACAACTTTGCTACAACTTTGCTATACTTTAAAACCATAGTATCATCCTAACTTAAGCAACAAAAATAACATGATATTTAACTGAACATTTTGTATATTTTATTCACATATTTAATAGGCACTAATAGTAATTTTTCCTTCAAATCACTACCTTAATGGAAAAAAAAATTTTTAATCACAAAATATTTGTAAACTACTAGTTCTGAAAGTATGCCATATTAAAAATAAAAATATTATGAGTACTTGGGCTCATATTCTTACCCACTAAACTCTACTGTCTCCTCTAATCAAAAGCTTCATGTTGCCTAAATTCATATGATGAGACACTGCCAAACTGGATCTTCTAATTCATCTCCATTTGGACACAACATATCAATAGTAATTATTCATATCCACTATCACATTTATAGAACACTAATAAAATACTGCACTAGGTGCTTTAAGCACAGTATTTGGAATTCACATTACGACAGAGGCATTGAAAACCTTATTTATAAGTGGAGACACAGAAGCTCAGAAAGATTAAGTAGGCTATCAAAGGACTGACTCCAAAGCCCACACTTTCCCATATCCCAGGAGTTCTCAGTTTTTGCTGTGTACCAGAATTATCTGGGGAAAACGTGTGAAAGAAAAACAGATGTATTCCTGGCCCTAGCCTCTCAAGTTTAGGGGCCTGGGCTGATATTGAAGCAGGCATTCCCTGAACACCATCTTGCTGCCCAACAACCCTGTGAACAAGCTTTTCTTTGTTATTTTGTCTTTAAATAGAATGTGTTGGGATGTGGGTGGGGAAGGATGGGCACCTATGCAGGTTGCTTGTGCATAAATTACCTAGGAAATCAACGAACTGAGAGGCTTTAGTGTGAACTACAGCTGCCAGAGTGAAGTTGGATGCCCTAAGAGACAAAGGAAGCACTCAGCAAGGAAGTATGGAGGTGAATCAACAGCATAAATAAGATTTATGAACATGAAAGCTTGGTAAAGTTTCACTGAAATAAGAGAAATCTTAAGTCAATGGACCCTAAAAATCTCATGAGTAGGGGTTTCAGATGGTAACAATAGTAAAATTAGGGGACTCAACACTAGATCTGAGGATGAAGTGAATCAGTGACATAGGTAATCCATACTTGCATACCTCTGGGTCTCCAGCACTCTATAAAGGACCCAGGTCCTTCTACTTATTATTTAAAGGTTTAACTTAGTAAAAGTACATTTGACTCAAATTCTACTTGAGAGTATTAGTAAAATCATAACCTAGTTAACTTCTTCTGGAAACATAGCATAAAGAATATGATTTTTTTAAAAAAACCCAAAACTTACAAAGTAATATTTGCCTGTTAATATTATCTAGAAAGAAGGTGAGTCAAGTAGGCATATAAAGGTCAGAGATGAAAATCCCATATTGGAAAAAGTCATAATAAAAGTTTAGTTATTGTGTCATCTAATATGGAAACTCGCTGTCATAGTTTTTAAGCTTTTTGGTCATAAACTCTTTTCAGTGTTTGATGAGAGCTACATTCTGCTCCCAGGAAAAATGTCCATGCACTTAGAATTGTGTATGTGATTTCACAGGGTCTGGGAGGCCACCCAGGTACACAGACCTCTAAATCAAAAATCTCTTTTTTAGATATTGATGCTGTGTCATCCATCTGCTTCCAGAACAAGTACCCAGGCCCCTCTGATATCTCCTGAATGAGAACAAGGGGATTTAATAAATGAATTTTAAATGTGGGGAAAAAAGTCTTTTTTTATTGAAATGTTCATAATATTTAGTAAGATCATGTCAGAGATATTATGTTTTCTTCCCCTAGTGAAATCCCTCTATATTCATCACTTTTGTTGTAAAGCATCCAATTTGTGAGATTTGGCCAAAACTTAAGTCATATGACTCCACAGAAAATCAGGCAGTATGTAATGAGACAGTGGCGCCGTTCCAAGAGTTCAAATGTGCTAACACAGGTAGAACTGTTATTATCCTGGGAGGAAATTTTAACTG